TTAAAATTAACATGTCTGCACAGGTTCTCAAATACTAAGGTATTTACATTGCCACAGGCTGAGTTGTAATGGTGGTCATTCTTCCTCTTTTAAACTTGACACTATGAGTGATGGGATACAGTTTATTCTTTGTAATTTGTATGTGTTTACGTATATTCCTTCATTACCATAAATACAATGTAGGAAAAATAATTGCCAAAAGAGAAAATGATACTTGGCATAGATCACAGAACTGTATCCTTTTTGTCCTGGGGCCATTTTACACATTGGTTTGGTGGCTTCTGAATGCCCCTCCTTGCAGCATTTTCCATTCTTGGCAGAGAAGATGTTAGATTCCCTCTGAAGCCCATCAGACATGGCCAAGAGCAAGCAGCTTTGAAGCTTTGCCAAGATTGGAAAACATTTGTCCAGCAAATCCGCTAAGAAGCACCACAGACAATTCTCTTCTGGGTGATTGCATAAGATGCACAACCTCCTTGCTTTTCGCTCCTACATAAAGCCACAAAGGCCTCGAGGCACAAGCTGCAAATGTGGCTGCGATGCCACAGAGTGAAGTGGGCTCCCTGGGGAGTCTAGGGAAATGGCAAGATCCCCTTTGGTCTCTTCTGCCCTGCGTTTCTGCTGTGTGTCAAGTCACAGAATTGTTAAGATGCGCAAGTACAGAATGTCACTGGTGATTAAAAATTACCTGCCTATAAAGAATTAGCATGTGAGAGAGTAGGCAAGGCTAGAACATTTCTCATTGACACTGCTAGCTGCCAAGGGCAAAGGGCTTTTATGCTAGAGTCCATCTGAGCATGCAGCCTGTAATCTCAAATGGTAGAATCCATCAGGAGAAAAACTGTGTGATTTGGCTAGTAACACAGCTTGGTTCTGCGCACCATGTAACTCACCTCTTGTTGCTCACCTCTCTCCTCCCCACTGCATAGGTCAGGGGTGTGCAATGGGTGCTCCTCCAGATGCTTTGGCCTAGTCAACAGAGCCAGTGCATAATGCAACCTGCCACCCAAATTGGGAACGTACGTGGCAACTGGCTGAACTACTGCCACAGTCTTGCTCCAACTGCATGTTTCCCCTGCTTCACCTTCCCTCCGCATCCATTTCCTTCCACCCACCAGCCTGCTTGTGCACTCTGCATCACTACACACTTCACACGCCTCCTGTGTCCCCTCGCTTTCCACTTGGCTGCCACTTCCCACTCGGCCAGCTGGCACACTCTCTGAAGAGTGGCATCAGCTGGAAGGGCAGCTTGCCTGGCTCTCCAGGGAAGTGGCCAGGCCTGGTACCTGGCTCCCTTAAAGCCAGGCACTGTGAGAGGAGGCGTGATGCTGGAGATCTGCTGCACTGCTACAACAAGGTGGGAGACATGGGAGGGGAGGCCGTGGTGGTAGCAGGAGCAGCAAGAGGAGAAGACAGGGTAACCCACTTACTGTAATCTATACTGTGGCAACATTCAAGCTAAGACTACTGCAATGTATTCTGTCTGGGGCTGCCCCTGAGCACTGTTCAGAAGTTGTAGCTTGTGCAAAATGTTGCAGTCAGTTAACTGGAACGAGATGGTTTGACTGCATCAGACCCTTTCAGGTCCATTTGCTCTGGGGATCACAGTACCTGACAGAACACCTCCCTTAACCTGAATCTGCCTGAAAACTGCAACCTACATTTGAGGGCTTCTTCGAGTGCTACCTCCAAAGGAGCTCAGACAGTGGCAACAAGGGAGAGGGCCTTCTCGTTGGTGGGCCCACCTGTGTCATAATCTCCCTGTCGAGGCTTGCCTAAGGCCAACAGTGTCACCTTTTTGGCACTGAGAAATTTAATGGCTTATTGTGGGACATGTCAGCAGTTTTCATGGTCCTGGTATTTTATGGAAATTGTTTTAGCTGTTTAACCTGATTAAATTTTGTATGCTAGATTTTTAATGCTGCATTTTATTGCATTTGTATTTAATGCTATAGTTTGAGAATCATTGAGAACTGCACAGAGAGCTTTAGTTGTTGGGCACTACAGACACAAACAAACCTCCTGCTAATTAAACATGCAGAAAGGCGTGAGGCAGTAAAAGAATGCTTTCAAGGGTGTCTAATGAGTTCCATGTACTTCTCTTTTGTTTTGTTTCACATTCAAGCACCTCCTGCTGTCCTGCATAAGCACTTCCAAAGCTTGGTGCCCTCCCCTCACAATGCTCCTCTCTCTCCAGGTCAGTCGCAAGCTAAGAACGGACATTGAGCTTCTAGGTCAAGCTTCTAGGTCAGTAATGGTGAATCTGTGGCAAGTGGGCCCGAAGGGGCCCGCAGAGCCCTCTCTGTTGGCACGTGATTGCCCCAGCAGCCATATGCATATTTGGAAAGATGAAAGGCACCAGGCAACAACGTCACTCATTAGATGTCATTCATTAGCCACGACTCCCCGAGTTTTCGCATGACCGGTCAGTGAGCTGCCAGGGATTTGCTTGGATTGTGATTTTAGCAGAAGGTAGAAAGGCAGGAAATACACTCAGATGCCTTTTTCAGGGCCGGTCAAAAGCTGGTGATCAGTGGAATGTTGCCCCCTTCAGGTTTTATTACAGTGTTGGCACTTTGCGATAAATAAGTGGGTTCTGAGCTGCAGTTTGGGCACTCGTTCTCTAAAAGGTTTGCCATCATTCGTCTAGGTTAACACATGCTCCTGGCAAAAGGAGAAAGTCTATCTCCAAATGACAGTTTAGGGTGCTTTAGTTATACTCTTTGAGTAAATATCCTGTCATACTTGCTAATGTTCCCTGTTCATTGCTTTCCACTCCTTGCTCCTTCCAGGGTTATTACTCTCAAAATGACAATTTCAGCTCAGTTTATGAAACCCAGACTGCCTTCTATTCACTGCCTTAAATTGTAGAAGGTGCTGCAGAATGCAGCTCATTTCTTTAGCTCAAGGAACCACCTCCAGAAATGATGCAGGAGAACATACACAGAGGAGTTATGTCCCCAGCCTTCTAAGCAGGGCTTTGTTTCTACAAAAGAGACAACTTCCATCTCCCAAAGGCCTTTCTCCAAATTTTAGCAACCCATCAGTGCTACCTGGGAATATGAACTTGGGGTTTGTTCCACCATCTGCTGTTCTTCTACAAGTGCAGGAGGGCTCTACCATGGGTCAAAACTTTCTCCTCAGCAGTACTCCTATTCAAGCACCCGGGATTCTCAAACATGGACATAGAAATAGATACACAGAGGGTGCCACCATAGAAGTATGGGGCTGTCTGAAAGCTTTTGGCAAAAGGCTGAATAAAAGTCTTGGTAGAGTGGTGCAGAATTGTTCTGGCTCATTTGGCTCATTTTGTAAACTGTCTTTCAAGACAAACAATCCCTAGTGGCTTCATTTCCACATATTATTAAAACATAAAAGCAACTCTAACAAAGAATACAGTTTGCAGAGTTATCTTAATCATTATTTGCTCCGAGGACAGTCCTGTTATGTTCACTGAGGTTTACTTACTGCAGACTGATTTTTTAAAAGGGATTGTATGCATTCCATGGGCTGGATGAATTACAATTGTAATGTTTGAAGGGTTCATCCTATGGACTTTTAATTAAAATAATATTATCTGCTTACAATATTCACTCATTCTAAGGCGCTTTGTGTGGTAAATGCATCAGGAACTTATTCCTCTAATCTCTTTTTAGCCTTACTGCAAAAAACCATGTTGATAACACACAAACTATATAACTGAAGAATTTTCCATTTAAAAGCATTTCAACAACAAAACTTAAATTGGCAAGATACTAATTTTACCACACACAAATAACAGGTTTTAAAATATTGCCAACTTATTCAGTCTAGAAATATCAATAATGTATTTGGCAAAACTGTTTCCCATCTGCAAAAAATCCTGAACAAAAAAAGTTGGATAATGCAATCCTATAAATGTTTATTCAAAAAGTTAGGTCTTACTGAATTCACAGGACTTAGATTTTCATAAACTGGTATGGGACTGAAACCTAAAGGCGCAATCCTGTGCATGTGTAGACAGAAAAAAGTCCGTCAGTGCCTGGCTGGGGAGTTGCTAAAACCTCAGAATTGATAGTAGGTCTGCAAGGTACTTGGAAAGATGGTTTTCAGAAGGGCTTCCCTATGCAGAGACACAGAGACTCCACAGTTTCCATGCTCCAGGCCTTCTTTCTGCTGCATGAGACGTTGAAGGACAGGGGCTTTTAAAATGGTGACTGGTGTTCCATGCTGCTTCCAGGGGTAATACTTGGAATCCCTCCCCTTCTTATGTCCTGCACTCACACCCATTGCTGTGCTACAACCTTTGTTGGAGGTCTGCAAGAGTGAAGTAAGACATTCAGGAAGTAAGCAAAGAGTGCATTTGGCAGTTACTAGATACATGCCATGTATCCTTCTTCCACCCCCTTGCTAGAACAGGGGCAATGGCCCATGACTTGCAGTTTGTATTAGGGCAGCTCCATCTTGAAACTCTTGGAAGAAATGTGGGTACCCAAGGTCCAGATGGGCAGGTCCAGATTCTGAGAGGATCCTGTATATTTGAACCACATAGAAAGAAAATTCCAACACGGCTACTTTGTCAGGTGAAGCCATACCAGGTAAAATTATTTCCCCCAAGTGAACTTTTGAAGGTGCAGGACAGGGGTGCAGAACCTCTTTTGGGCTGAGTGCCGGGGCCACCTCAGAGGAACTCCACTGCAGGCAGGTCCAAGCCAAAAGAGCAAAGAGCAAAAAAGCTGGCAAATTTTAGCTGGAAGCTTGAAATGGCCACAGCTTCAGAAAGACATTTCAATAATTTAGAGGGTGGTGGAACTGCAAAAAGCCTGGGAAACCACCAAATGTGGTTGGAGGAATTTGGGCATGGCCATCTCGCAAAGCTGGGACCTCAGCTGGGTCAGAGGTTCTGAATCCTTGACACTGGAAATGCTTAATGGCTTAAATCAACCTTGAAATTCCCTACCCAGGTTCTCATGCTAACCCAAATATGAAAGTGCCAGTTGCTATTAGAATGGAGGCCTTACCTGTCCCCCTTTAGGTTGGTATTTGATGTTGTCCGTTGAGCCGATTTTGGACCTGACATTCTTGAGGTCGGGCAGAGGCTGATTAATGAGCCGTAGTTGCTTAGGGGTGCCTGGAGATTTCGGAGGTGTGCGTATGATGGCGACTTTCTTCTCAGTGGGTACCAGGATACCAGATTTGGGAGTGCCCGGTGTGTGAGGGGTCCTGGAATAGCTAGGGGTCCCAGGAGTTCCTGGGGTGCGAGAGGAATAGCTAGGTGGGGTCCCAGGAGTGATGGCAGTAGATCCTGGAGTAGTTGGGGTTGATGTGCCACTTTTTCCTGTTCGGCTTCGAATAGGCTCTGATCCTGTATTGACAAAGGTATCATTTAAGCCATGATGTTCACACCATGCTTCCATGGAGCACTGGCATATAACAGTTCATAACCATGTCCACAAAAGATGCAGTTTGTAGAAGGATGACTCACTCTAAATCTTTCTAGAATCCACAGAGATCCTCAGCACTGAGCAATGACCCCCTAAGTGACCAGAGTGTCATAATCTACAAGTAGGTTAGGGTTTAAAGAAACTGATTTTTTAAAAAATAAAGTTGGTTTGCCAATCAAAGTCTCAAGGAAAAATCAATTTGAAAAGTCTAAATATATTGTAGTTGACTTGCACATTAATGCAGAGATATGGTACATTCATGAATTTTTATGATTTAGTCTTTTATGCACTTTTGTGTGCACACTTTCCAAAAACGTGTTCTGAAATACTGTTTTCCTAGTTGACCAAACACACATGCACACAAACACAAAACACACCTGATCATAACTGAAAATGGAAACAAAGTGGACTGAATTTCCAAGTTGAACTCAGAGCATTGTGGCAAGCTTGAGCCTTGCTGATTCTCCAGTCCCTAAACTGGATGCATAGGACACATTTAAGGATTTTTTAAAAATGTAAACTAAAAACAGGAGAAAGGGAGATAAGGCAGCACAGATGAGGGAGACAGAATCACCTAGGAAGAGTACATGAGGAAAACCATGTAAAACTTAGTGGGTTTTGAAGCATCGTAAGACTGCTGCAAGTCTTTTCTGCTAAACCTGGTCAGTTTATCCTCCTTGGCATTCTTTTCCTCCAGAGAATGCATATGCATGGATGTAGACTGCTTTATCTGACCTACCAAAATCTGCAAGTAATTTAAAAGGGGAAAAAGGTCTGCTTGGGGTGGGGAAGAAGCAGTTTAAGATATAAAAGGTTGCTTGGATGGTAGTATATAACAGATATATAAAGCTTTGATTCCTGCACCACAGGAAGGCATGAAAGGATCTACAAAGAGGCATACTGACAATCTGGTGCATCAAAGGGTAGCAATATTTTTCAAAGAGTTTTCCCTTTTACAAATGAAGGTTAAATAGCCCAGAAAAGGAAAATGAATGTAGGCTGTTTTTGCAAAGTACTTTCACTGAAGACAAGTAGGACATTGGTGCAAAACCTGATGTGCTTTAAGAATATACTTACCACAGTTCTGTTATTGGAATGCAAACACAAACATAGTGCCACTACATTTATTTTAATATATAAAAAGGGACTCCAAGGTTGGTTAAGGTCCAAGAGGTGCACTTGAATTCAATGTCTATTTACTTGCATGGGAGACTTACTGTCCTCAGTGGAACTTGCTTTCACATTATTACTCACACTTGCTAGGTATAGTATTGCACAGTTACAATCCCCAGTGCATGCACTTGGAAAAATCAAAGGCATTTACTGTATTTCTTTATTGTGACTTTTCCCCTGCTTTACACCAATGGCTGCACAGTAAATCAGGATAAACTGGGAGGTACTACGTCCCTGAAGATACCCAGCCATTCCTGTATTTGGACTTGATTATCCAGCCCAGCAGTCTATCCACTCTGTTCCATTGCCATGCCAGCTACATCCCAGTGCAGCAGTGCTTGGGTATAGGGGTATTTTCAGAGAACAGTCCTGCAATCCAAATGAATGAATGGGTTAATGTGCAACATGAACAAATTGGGAGAGCTGGTACCCAATGCAACTTGGTCATACCAGTGCTGCACCTTATGTAAGTGGCTCAATGGATAAGTAGCAGCTTCAGGACAGGGTGAGTCTGACAGGGGCAAGAGTGGGGGCCATTCAAGATGAATCGCTAGGTGGTGGCTCAGGGAAGCTAGGTGGTGTCCAAGGATAGGAGCCAAGGTTGTAGAAGGGAGGGTGTCCCTGCATGTATCAACTGGAACTTCTCAGCCACAACAATGGCTACAAAGCTAATAGCATATTACTTATATTACAATATATTGCATTATAATATGATTTCTGTATCTAAAAAGCCAAGGTAGACACCCGGAGGTTTACATAAAGCCCACATCTGCATGTGAAAAAGAGAGGTAGTGGGGTTAAGGCAAAAGCACGGTGCCAAGAAACATACTAGTCGTCCGTCGTGCGGATGGTGCAGTGCTGTTCAAGGAGAAAGAATTCTCATCTCGCTCTCTGTCTGCTGATATGCCCCTCCGGGTGGGTAGAATAGAAGAAGGTCTTGGTAAAGAGGAACGTTTTTCTGGACTCTTGGTCACTCCATCCTATTAGAAACAATATTAGGCATGTTAAACAAGATAGGGTAAAATAAACTTTTGAAGACTGTAGTTAGCTTTATATCAGTTTTCCTCCAGCAACAGTTTCAGAATGATCCCCAGGCCAGAAAAATCACTTCAAACCTGGATAGTTTAATTTTCAGCAATCCAAGCATGAGGAGGCGAGATTTTCCCCCTGAAAGGAATCCAGTATTGTCCTAAATTTGCTTACAGCAATGTCATTAGCAAAAATCGTCATAGCCACTACAAAGCGAAATGAAGTGAGGGTACGTGGGGATGGGATGTGAGGCAGCGGGAGGAATACTGGCTTGTTTTTGGCTGCAGCTGTGACAGGCCAAGCCTCAATTATTTTTGTACTGGGAGCAAAAAGCCCAAATAGCCCATCTCTGCTTTGGAGTGAAGTGACTATAAGCACACACATATGCATATCATGGCTGCAAAGAACTCTCGTTCCACCAAGTCAAATAATGCGATTCACAAATTGCTCGAAAAGCTGGAGTACGCAGGCAGTTGGGTGTATGTTGATCCACTCTGGTGTACACGGTTTGGAAACTTTGGCTGCAGCCAGTCAATGGTCATTCAAAGCGGAAAGTGGTAGGCCAGAGGCACCATTGCTTTTTGTGCCAGCACCTGCCTTTTGACTCACCTTCAGTTCTGGTAAAACAGGCTTTGCAGGCTTTTGGGAAGTGGCTGAAACTTGCAAGACCTGGGATAAGGACTACTTATGGGTCATGTAATAGGAAAAGCAAGATCTTAGTGCCTGCACTATGTTTCCTGTTCAACCCAAGCTTCAGAAAGACTGTATGATTGGCTAGGGTGTATGCTTGAAAGGAGGATTATCAAGAATTAAAGATGCCTACTGTTTCAAATGTAACACAAGAGCTGCTCTGCAGTTTCCGACAGGCTCCCCACTCCTTGAGATTTAACTGGTTTCCTTTCTTAACATTTATCACATTATTTAGAGAGCAATCAGTGGGTCCCTGGTAGGGCATTCCAAAAGCCATAGGGCAGTCCTGGTGTGTCCTCTCTCAAAAGCTGTCCAAAAGGCGGGCAGAGCTGAAGCCTCATGGGGGAAGGCAGGATTCCCTGCTCAGCTCTCTCCCCCTCCCACCTCCCAGGGAAAGCTCTGAAGTGGCTCTTCTGCCACAGTTGCTCTTCTGCCACAGTTGTTCTTGTGGCCTTAGAAGGTGATGGGGGGCCAGGGGTGTGTTGGTGGGCAGGCAGCAGCGAGAACACGGAGTTGCTGGACTCAAGAACTGCTCCATCCCTGCCCCTGCCCACAAAATAAGCATGTGGGCAGACTCACAGGGCCAACTAAAAATGCAAAAACGGAGGTGCAAGAGAGGAAAACACCACTGCATTCTCCCCGTTTTCTCTGCTGCTTAACAGTAGGGCTTGTGAAGGACTGAAGGCTCTAAACTCAGAGCCCCGTCTGCTGAATATCTAATCCATAATTTGTGCTCCTACTTTAACAGTTGAGGGCACAATAGAGTAGGGAAGCCCATAAGCCACTGGGCAGAGTGGCTTACAGGTATGCAGGGTGATTTTGGCCACCTTGCTGAGGCATTTTGGATGGGGAAGGAAGGAGCTAGGAGTGCTGCCAAGTAACATCTTGGTGGATCAGGTGCCTTCCCCTCCCCATTCCCAGAGTGCCAGCTTAATTTCTTCTTTGGAATCATTCTTAGGACTTGAGACACAGCCAATGCAGTTCTCTCCATGCAGGATCCAAGGAGGGAGGGGGATCTGGGGCAGATTCCCACCTCTGAGGTCAAAGTGGTTTCCTGGCTTCAGAGCTGGGACTCGGAACAATCCTATGGACCACCAGACACCGTGCAGAGGGCCACGACATTGCTCTCTTTATCACTGACCTTTTGTGAATTAATAACCGTGGTCACCCTACAAATCATGACCCAAATGAGCTCCTTGATCCAGAATCCCTAATTACTCAGGAGTGCTTTTTCTTACTGTCAACTCACATCAGCCTCTGATTCATCCCTTTAATGTGAAAACAGGTGTGTTATACCATCTTCCTCTCAGAATAACATTATGAATTGCTCCGTTGCTTAACCACACCTTTCTTAAAGATAAATGGATGCTTACTATAAACAGGTGAGTCAAGAACTTCACAAGGGAAGACACACAATGCACAAATATTTACAGATATGTAAGTTATTTTGTTGGAACGCTTTTCAACCAAGTTAATAGTTCCTTAATGCACATTAATATTAATCTTGTTGAAAAGAGATTGCAAAATATTACCAAATAGCTAGGATTTTTATGGTCTAGATCAGTGATGGCGAACCAATGGCACGCAGAGCTCTCTCTGTCCACACGCGATTGCCCCAGCAGCCACGTGCATATTCAGAAAGATTAAGGGCGGCAGGCAACAATGTCACTCATTAGCCCTGACTGGCATGGGCGGTCAGTGAGCCGCCAGGGATTTGCATGGACTGTGATTTTAGTGGATGCAGGTGGCGCAGTGGTTTAAACTGCTGTGCTGGTTGATCGAAAGGTCGCCGGTTTGAGGCTGCACAACCTGTTGTGATTTGAGCAGAAGGTAGGAAAGGTAGGAAATACACTCAGGTAGGAAATACACTCAGATGCCTTTTTCAGGGCCGAACAAAAGCTGGAGGTCAGTGGAACGTTGCCCCCTTGAGCTGGTGGTCAACAAATTCAGGTTTTATTGCAGTGTTGGCACTTTGCGATAAACAAGTGGATTCTGAGTTGCAGTTTGGGCACTTGGTGTCTGAAAGGTTCGCCATCACTGGTCTAGATAGTAGAACGAAATAATCTATTAACAGGGACTCAAAACCCAGAAAATTCCAGATTCTGACAACCTTCTACCTCTTCTGTCCCAGCTTTCTGTTTCATCCACACTATTCTTCCCTCTTTCATTCCCTAAGTCTTCCTATTAAATGCTGGGTTTTAACTCCTGACATGTCAGATTCCACCCAGACTTCACCTTTGAAGAATTTTCTTCTGCCTACTCTGGTGTGTGTCCCTTGTGTTTTTCCAAATGTATGCTGCAAGAACAATGCAAGTAGCAAAGGATCTTGCTTTTCCTTGGATGCTGGCATGGGAATGGACCACATCATTTATCCAGTGTGAGATCAGGCTGAAAATGGCTTCATTACAGTAACAGCAAGTCATGAATTGGGCATAAATCCCTCTATTATCATAAGCCATTTTTTTATTTGTGCCATACAGTTGTTTTGCCACAGAATGCTGGTGCAACATATTCATAGATGGGGGAGGGGGGCAATAAAGAAAGTACCAGATTTCACCTTTGCTTCTTCCTGAACTATCACTATACCAACTCCACTGCCTTACCTGAGCATCAGTTTTTGAGTTTAGCAAGCAGTCTCTTGGGCCCGCTGAAGAGGGCCGTGTAATATAATTTTCTGTATCAAGCAAAGCAGCTTTTTTGGTAGTAGTTAGTGAACAAGCTGAGCTGGGTCTCGGAGGAAGCAATGACTTTGCTCTAACTTTTGAGGCAGGAATCTTTGACAAAGAAGAAGTCTAGTCATGAGAAAACAAACAAAAAGCACAACATGAAGGTGGACAATGAGGCAAACAGAAAAGGCATGCAGTATGGAAAACAGGCCACAAAACAAAATGTATTAGAAGCCATCATGTGTGCAGTGCTAGGCACACATGGAAGGGGGGCTGCTGCACTGCTTGCAAGGTAACGTGAATCTAGCATGTCCTCAGCAACCTGGCACCCTCCAGACAGCTTGGATTTCAACTCCAATCACCCCCAGCCAGCATGGCATGGTGGCTAGGGATTATGGGAACTGTTGGGAAAAGCTTGCCTAGTGGTTATTTTTCAGATTTCCAACGAGGCCCTTCACAGGCACACTGGCTCATGAAACTGCCTTGGAACACTACTGGCTCATCCAGCAACCATTCACCCTTCCGGGCATCAGCTCTCCAGGTTTTAGAGCAGGGTCATTTCACCCCTGCTGCCTGAGAGGATTTTAATAGGAGACTGAAACTGGGGGCTGAAACTGCGACCTCCTGGATGCAAAGCTAAGACTCTGTCCTTCCTCTGTGACCAAAATCACAATAAAGATAAATTTTGCCTTTCTAATACATATATGAACATTTAGGGGAGACTCCAACAGGACACTAACACCCCTGATGATTCTCTCGCACCCTACCAATGCCTGTCTGCAAGCAGTACCTTCTGCTTCCAGAACAAAGTTTTAGTGCAAGCGGTGGGCCCCATTTGTGCAGTGGAATTGGCAGTGGACAAGAGCATTAGTGGAATGTAAACACCCCAGTGCATTCTGCCTTTGGTCTTCAATTATGCTAACTCTACACATCTGAAAACCTAAAATGCTAAAAGCTGCAGCTACTAATACATGGTTCAAAATCATGGACAAAAAGTGACAAGTTAATGCTAACAAAAATGACTCCTTATACTTGAGATTAATCAGAAAAAAAAATCAAATGTTTCTAATTTTAATCACAAAGTGTACAAAATATTAACTGTTCTATGTCAAATCAATTATGGTGCAAGCTCTTATATTTTGAACTCAAATATAAGCGGGTAAAATATGGAAGAAAAAAGAATGGAATGATTATCTCTTTTTAAAGAACCATTCCAACTGTTTTCATAAAAATTCTCCCTAAGTCCTGTTTCTTTAACATTAATGACTAAAAACTTTTGTTAATAGAAATCTGAAAATATTTGATGATGACTGTGCTGATGGAAAAAAGTTCACTGCTTTTCAGAAAGGAAATGAAGAATAAGAAAGATTACTTCCAATTTTGGGGAACTCTTGGCAAAATTGTTATCTCCCATAGACTTATTGGCGAGGATCCCACCAAAATCTTTCAGCCCTTTTAAAAATACTGTATATTTCTACCTTCAAGGGAAGGGAGGGAGAGACTGCTGTGAGGCTTGGCTGAACTCTGCTCCCGCTCCCCTCTTGGTGCAGTGAGGGGGCCTCAGTAGGGAGGAAGGGGAGCCCTCCTGAGTCCTC